ATCGTATAACGGTTCATCGTCGCGAGGTTTGTGTATTAGGGGGATTGATGCTATTAAATTTTGATGGTTAAAGGGTCGACGGGGTGAGGAGATTGTGTGTGTCATATCTTGAGTAGGGTGAAACTTAATGATGATTTTAGAATGTTTATCAATTTAAATGATCTCAAAAAGATTAATTTTGAAACAGCACCATAGTGCATTAATATGTATATTGTGTAAATTTAATTTAGCAATTTGAGCATCACCGATAATTCTATGGATAAATTTATGCCACCATAGATTAAAAACATCATGCACTTCCATTATAAACTGATATGGTGTCCTCTGAATGACATCTTATAATTGTTGCACGTTGCTGTGAGATGCCACACATTGTAGCATCTTATAATCAAAGAAATATGACAATTATTAAATATTATGTGAGCTACAGTGGGTGATCGGTTAACGAGCATAATTCGTTCCGAGACTTTGTTTGCTATCCGAATTGTTCATTAACCGATCATCGATTTACCATAGGTTTTTATGGGAAATTGATTAATTCGTTCTGGAAACTCCAAAAAATAAAAAATATATACTTTCTTACTGTGTAAATAAACACAGTTTATATGTATTATATGTAAATAAACACAGTTTATTATTACATTATTTATATGTAATAATAAAAATACGTATATACACAGTCTTGCATTTTTATTAATCATGTTTTCTCCATTTGTGGGGGGTTAAAGAATCTAATGTCGATTGCTTTTCTCTCTTCTTTAGGATTTTTCAGAAGTAATTAATAGCATCATAATTGTAGAGATCCCCAAGCCTATTAACCTCAACCTGGTTTGAATGCCATTCTAAGATCATTGTTCTAACATCCTCCCACTTCTTCAAAAGGTCTTTAATAGCAGATGTCGGCATTAATCCTCTTTTTCAGAAGAAAACATATCTTGCTGAGTTTCTTAGTGTTCTTCTGTCTTCAGATCCATTTCAGATTCCATTATGAGCTCTTCAATGTTCTTCATTTCTCAGATGTGATTTTTGTTACTCCTTTAACTGCTTGAGTTTTCTTGAATATTCTATCTATATCTTTCTTAGATAAGATTCAACTGTGGCCTACTGTCGATCTGATCAAGCCATACTACCCAGCAACATCAGACATCTTCTGCCCACTCTCTACCTTTGCTATTATACTCTCACCTTTTGAAAATAAAAACCTATGCAAAATTTAATGAATGCCCGCTCAACAGTCTCACAAATACTATAAAAGAATTGTTTCTGTCAGAACAAATAAAAGACTGGAATTACAAGAGAGAGTTTCAAAGTTTGAAGGAATACTATCTGAACAGTATATACTGGGTTGAGTGTAAATGTCAACATTTCCTGCACTCCAAAAAGTTTCAAATTGTTGCCTGAAGACAAGGGAACACTAATCAGTATTCATTATTTTATATCACTTCTTGTGTTTGTTCTGTGAGGTGTTCGTTGTCCAAACATAAAAATCTTTCATGAAGGTGTTCATTAACCGATCACCCACTGTATATATATATACAGTGGGTGATTGGTTAATGAACAAATTGGATAATGAACACTATATATATATAATATTTAAATATGAAAATTGATTATCAAAAAGTGTAAATAAACTGATACTTCAAAAATCACAAAGGGAAACCTTATACCAGCTAATATTATAGATGAATGTTTCTGATCTTTGTCATATCTTTGGGTTTAAATTGACATATAAATAGAATTCTACATTTTAGATTAAATTATTTTTTGAATTATGTACTAAATTTAAAATTAATAGAATATAATAAATAACTGTGCATGTATTTGTAAAATAGAAAAGTAATCAGCTTACAAAAAGAAACCTTACTTATTACTTGTCTCTCAAAATAGTCTTTAAGTTAGAAATTTGATTACTTATTTTTATAAGCAATCAAATTCTGTTGTTAATATACTATTGTCTTTTACTATTACCAGTACTATGGAATGAAATTGAGATAAAACAAAAATAGCTATTTCTTATTCTTAAAAGAAGAAAACTTGCAAAAACAATGTGTTTGATAAATGTGTTCAGAGAAATAATTTTTAAAATATCAAATTTTAAATTAATCAATCAATATAGAAGTTGATTTTCTCTCTCATTTTAGAGACAACCAGTATATAGCATATGACTTTTTTTTTATTTAAACTCTTGCCAGATTAGACAGTGTTGTCAGTCTTACAACTTAAATGTCTCTGATTAAGACAATCTTAATTAAATTAGCACTTCAGAAATTCCATTTATTTTTATAAGACAATTTTTAAAATTTTACATACAACTTTTATTTGTTTTTATTCAATATTTTTTCTAATAAATCCATCTTCATTGATTCTTTTATTTATTCCAAAGGTAATTTCAAGTATTATTCTAGTTTTTATACTTTCATCTGTGTATATGTTTGTGTAATAATTAAATTTGGTATAAATTTAGTCTATATCTAATGGTTGTTATAGCCATATTTAATTATTATATGAATACTATTCTAGTTTTTTGTTTGCTTATCTTTTACCTTCAGTATAATTTATTAGGTATGTTTAGATTATCATCTTTAATCCAGTATGTCAAGGCTTTTCAGTCCATCAGGAATATGAATTATTGAAAAGTATGTAGAATTACAGAATGCTTTATAATGAATTGGACCTGAAAGGTAAAAAACTATGAACAAATATAATAATTAACTTAAGGGTTTTATAGATATCAAATCTATACAAATGTATAATTGAATTCACATCTGTCTGCCTGTTTATCACAAAAGAATAACTGAACCAATTTCTATGAAATTTTGTACATATATTCAGGTTAATCTTGAAAGAATATAAAATTGATTTCAGATGTTATAATCATACTCAAAATTTAGTTTGTCAATGTTTAAATGAAAGCTATATGTATATACATGCAAAATTCAAAGAAACAGATATTTGAGAAGTCTTAATTTTAATAATTATAATAATCTACATCAAATATTTGGTTATATCTGGTTCTCATCAGATATTTTCTATGAATAAGAAGTTTTGTCTGAATGCTATTGGATGTGAAAGGAACCATGAAATTCAAATACAGTAGGCAAATGTCATGGTCATTAATGGATGAAAGCTGACATCAGTAAAAGCTAATCAAATGAAATTTGGTCATCCTGTTTGAGCAAAATGTATGCAGTACTGAATAATTGACATTGCCAGTTTTTACCTTTCAGACTGTCAGTGAGTCACTAGAATCACTTTTGATGTAAAATTGTTTTTGTTCATCCATTACAAGTATAAATAGTGATTAAATAATTAAATAATTATAAATTAGATTAAATAATTATAAATTCTTTTCCTTGTACACATTTTTGTGTGTGTTTTTTTCATTTGAATACTTTAATTTTACTTAATATATCATTTTTCCAAGTGAAGCTTTTTACATTAGCTAGTTTGCTTTAACCCAATGCTACTCCTGATCAAATTTGTAACCCCTTTACTCAAAGGTGAGTGTCAGCTCATCCTACATATTTTCATATTCCTAATGATTTATTTTAAGAAATTTTACTTAGATCAGGAAGTTTTCTTATGAGTAATACATATTTTAATATTCACCTTGTTTTACTTAAGTTAGAATACATTAAAAGTAATTTTGATATAGAAATAGAAAGTTGATATCTGATCAGATCAATCAGATTGAAAAAAATCTAATTAGAATATCTATTCAAGTTCTGAATCTGTTTAGTCTGAATTTTTAAAATTGCATTGTTTGCAGATTTATGCAGTAGGCTGCATATTGTCCTCTTGGATTCTGTTTTTCTATTCTTTTTTGGGCATTATGCACACATTTCTCTTCATACTGATGTTGGCTGTGGAGGATCTGGTTCCTTTCTCAACACTTCCAGGATTTTCATATGCAGATTCTCACTCTCATTGTCTGTGAGGAAGGAGCCTACATTTTCTTCCTCAGACTTCTCATCAAGCCATTTCAAAAACAATTTATCACATTTTATGATAGTACGTATATATAGTATCACTGCAATTAGAATCATACCACTTGGTAATGCGAAAAAAAAAAAACAGGATTACTTGCAGGCTAACATGTCCCAGACAATTGAAACAAAGGCAGCACTGAAAGCATTAGTGATGACTGTTATATCCAATTCTGATATCTTGTTGAAGAGAATACTTTATAAGGAACATAACAAGAGTTTGAACACAAAACTTCCAAAAAGCCTGAATTACAAGCAATTTAAAATGAAAGGTGAGTACAACTCTTCTCCTTGAGTAACAGCAGGTTAAATGTAAAACACAATTTTTTCTTAATTTGCCATTCTGTACATTATTTGACAGGGGATTTGATAGAGCATTACTTCGGAAAATTGATGCCTGATTTGAACAATACAAATTTGAAACCTAATATTCAAATTCAGTGTATTACTAAATTTGTACATATAAACAACCCCTGGTGTGTTGTTACAAATTTGTCTCAGTAATTTCTACCTTTAATGATGGACTGAAAGGCCGATATCAAAAGTAATTATACTTGATTTGAGGAAAATAGTTGAAATGTTTCAAATAAAGCAGAAAATAATACTGATTTGGAGTTTTTAATCAATTGTTAATAAGGAAGAGTTGTTTGTAAAATTATGATAATTTTTATTTAAAAAGGTATTTGAAGTTAAATATGTTGCTCATACATTCTTAATTTTCAGTTGGTGAAAGTTGTGAATATGGATCATTGAAATATTATGCACTCTGTGGATTTGGTGGTGTATTGAGTTGTGGTATCACTCATACAGCTGTTGTCCCACTAGATTTAGTAAAATGTCGTATTCAGGTAAGTTTTTTACATAATTTCTTAGTTTTATCATCTATAAACATAAACAATTTTACTTTTATAGCTTCTTGCCCTTATTATAATTATTATAATTTTTGTGTTACTACACAATTAAACTTTTAGGGCTTGTCACACTTGAGTCAGTGTGATAAATCCTAAAAGTTGAATTGTGTAGTAACATGTAAACTCCATGAAAATCAAGCAAAAATAACATTTAATGTTTTCAACCAACTTAAACAGTCATCTTCAAGTTTATTTGAAGAATTCAAACAATTGTACAAAATTAGAACAACTCATTAAATATAAGAGTACAAAAATTATTGTTGGTTCATGTGTAATGCCAAACAACTACTGGATTATGTCAGGCTACTTTTCTGCAATTATATTTAATCTATACTAATATTATAGAGATAATGTTTGTATGTAAGTTTGTTTGCAGCAGGTAATCTCCTAAACTACTCATCCGATTTCAAAAATTCTTTCACCAATATTTAGAATGGAACCTCAGGGTGGACATAGGCTGTATATTATTCCGTTAAACATTCATATAAATTAAATGATATCATCTATGGTTAAGGCCTTTTTGTCCAACAGATGGCGCTACGAGTATGACGCCCTAAGTTTGCTTTTCTGCGAGGCATTACGCTTTTCTGTGAAAATGAACTAAAGTGGATCATCTTCTATCTATTTATATAAATAAAAATGTAATGTTTGTTTGTTCCTACCGATTCCTTTGAAATTTGACACAATTCTGCATTTGAATACGCACGTGTTTTTATATAACATACATGTCGAAATTCAACCCCATTGAAGGGAGATGGTTAGGATTAAGACTTACCGTAAAGAACTCTGCTTCTATTTATATTATTTTAGATGCGTGTTTTTGCATTTTAATAGGGCACGTCAAGAGAATGTACACTAAGAAGAAATTTTTCGATATTTTCCCCACGCAGGAGAGAGACAGGATTAAGGCTTACCGTGAAGAACTTGGCTTCTATTATACTATTTTAGATGCGGGTTTTTGCGTTTTTGATTGCATTTTAATAAGGTATGTCAAGAGAATGTACACTAATAAGAAATTTTTCGAAAAATTCTTTCCCCCCCAAGGGGTAAGTGTTATAAATTTATAATAGATACATTTTGAGCCACAACAACGTGTGGCGGGGTCTGCTAGTTACTGAATAATTTGTTACTAGAGGGAGGCATTAAGCACCACCTCTTTATTAGATTTAATAATTATAATTAAATTAATATTTATTAAATAAGTTAGACTATTCTGGAAGAAAAGAATTAGCCTGAGCAGAACTTAAACCTGTAACTCTCATTTACTGTGTGATGCATTGCCAGTTTCACTACCAGAGCCACCAGTCTGATCTCTTCCAGACATATTTAAATATGATATAACCATCCTTGGTGCTCAGTTTCTTCCAGAATATTCTAAATAATTTAATAAGTATTAATTTAATTATAATTATTAAATTTAATAAAGAGATGGCACCTAATGCCTGTTTCTAGTAACAAATTATTTAGTAATTAAATATAATCATGGAAAAGTAGCCTGATATAATCCAGTAGTTGTTTGGCTTTACAAGGAAAGGCTTTATTTTTGGAAGTTTTTATATATATTACAAATTTATCAGGTTTAGTGATGATTGTTTATGTTCATGTGTAATTCATTTAACTAAGCTTGAGTTATCAGAACAGTTTACATAAGAATTTTGTGAGATGGGGTTTTGTTTAATTTAAATGCTCTTAACTATTCACAGTGAAAGTGGGTCAACCAATGCTAGGCTATTTCATGGAAGAACCAGGCCTGCAATATGGTGTCTAGATGTTTATAATTTGTAGTCTTGGAATCCCAGGCCATTTTGTAGATCTCCAGTTTCTCAAGATTTTAAGGTTGGCAAACTCTCACATTGGTTTCAAGATAGCTTCATTCAGATTGATGTGGACATCATTTTTGCTTGTGAAGACTGTGAGGATGTGGAAAATAATTTTTTTTTATGGATGCAGATTTGCTTTTTTAGCCTCCACTATAGGAATCATGCAGTGGCACTGATATATTCCCATTCCTTGTGTAACCTCTAGTCTTTGAAAAATGTCTCCCTGAATACACTTCAGGAAGACATTTTTCATCTGGTGTCCCCTTTGCATTCCTGAGAAGACTATGCATTAGAGTTCCTTTTAAAAATAACTTTTATACCACTAGCTGGTGCTGTTTCCTTGTATGTTTTTTTAAGATATGATTGTATCTAACCATTACATAGGTTTTGTTGTCATCCCTTTTGAGTTGATGATGGACTTTTTGTTTGATTAAGTTATTGATGATTATATGGTATCCAGTTCCTTAGTGACTTGTTTGATGAACTGAAATTGTTATAATTGGTCCAAGACATTGGAAGAGTGTGAGAAGGCTCTCTTCACTAAGTCAATGAAGAAGACCTGCAATCTTGAAATTATATGGGTCTTGAGATGAATAACAGATAGTAGGTAGGTTTTCTATACAGCTTACTGGAGATACGTCCATCCTGTAATATTAAGAGTATGTTCAGGAAATGTGCTGACTGATTGCTTTGCTGTTTTAATTGTAGATGGTAAATATAAGGGTTATGATTGATGTCACTGAGAAAGAGGTGCATATTAGGTTGTTGGCATAAAATTATAAGCATATTGTTGACATATCTTGCGCATAAGAGAAAATGGTTATCCTAAGTTGATAGGACCCTCTCCTTTAAGTCATAAATTGAGCTTTTCTAGGATGCCTGATAGGACATTCTCCTGCAGGTCAATTCCTTCTTCAACCAGGACAAAGGAACAGTAACACACAAGATTTGCTAGCTTCAGAATAAGAGAGTGATATTTATGTGAATGTGCTTGAATAGTAAGTCCCAGAGTTTACAAAAACATGGGTCAATTTTTGATAACTGAATAAGAGGACTTTGATGATGATAGTTGCCAATGCATGATTTTTAAATAATAAAGTTCCTTAATAAATTGTAATAAATAAAATCAAAAAATCCATCAGAAAATATTGATTGACAAAATGAACAAATTACATAATTATAAAATTTGACTTACAGCATAAATTTGAATTTTTTTTCTTACAATTAGGTATGAAGTATGATTCAAAAATTAGGAAATTATTCTATTTATTACTAAATAATGTTTTGAAAAAGTAATTTTTAAAGTATTAACATTATTAAAATTAATTACTAAAGTATTGTATTTAAATTTAATGTAAACATTATATGCATTATTTTACTATTTTTCTTTATTCAGACAAATCCTGCTAAGTACAAAAGTATTTTTAATGGATTTTCGGTAACTGTACAAGAAGATGGAGCCAGGGGCCTTGTTAAAGGTTGGGCACCAACAGCTATAGGTTATTCTATGCAAGGTTTAGGAAAATTTGGATTTTATGAAGTCTTCAAAATTTTATACGGTGGACTACTTGGAGAGGTTAGGTCTTTTTAAAATTTTTATATATATGTACAAGTATTAGTATTTGGAAGAGTAATTTCAAGTATTTGATATTATTTTTAGGAATTAAGTTATACATGGAGAACATCACTCTATTTAGCAGCAAGTGCTTCTGCAGAATTTTTTGCTGATATTGCTCTTTGTCCTATGGAAGCTGTTAAAGTACGTATTCAAACTCAACCTGGATGCCCACCAATGCTTAGAGTAGTAGCTCCAATGATTTGGAAAGATGAAGGCTTGACAGGGTAATTAAATCATATTTTTAAAGTAGAAGAATTTCAGTGTATATTATTTTAAAAATTAATTTATCATTATGTATTGTTTATAGTTTTTATAAAGGAATTACGCCATTGTGGATGAGACAAATCCCATATACTATGATGAAATTTGCCTGCTTTGAACGAACTGTTGAATTGTTATATAAGCATGTTGTTCCTAAACCTCGTGACCAATGCAGTAAACCTGAACAACTTGTAGTTACATTTGCAGCTGGTTATATTGGTGAGTCCAAATATCTTTCAAATAAAAATTAATGGTAATTAATTATAATAATAATATATAATTATATATAATGTATGCATTTGAAAAGCAAAGAATGTATAACATTCTATGATTTTTCAAATTTTGAAGAAAAATTTATTTTTATAATTATTGTGTGTTAACGTGCAAAGAATGCAAAATTTTATATTTTATTTAAAGATTATTTTATGTACATTTATACTGCTCTTTTATTTTATTGCATTTATTTAAAATATGATTTGTATGAACATTTTTAATAAACGGTTTACTGTAAAATTGTGGTATACAATAAACATGATTTCTTTAGATATCCCAACATATTTAGTTGTAATAATTTTCCTGCAATAATTTATTGGATTCTTTATTTTATAGTCTAATTTTCCATATTTCAGTTATATTTTACCTTTAAAATCAGTGTATAAAGTAGGAGTTTATATTGTCTTATTATTAAGTGAAAATCATTCTCATAAAGTTTACAAAGATTTTATTGTTAAATCAGTCTAAAGATTAAAAAAAAAATTATTATAGACTGAAAATATTAAGATCTGAGTCATTTTTATTTAGATCTCTACAAAAAAAAACCTAAAACAAGATTTAAGTAACTATTCATACATATCTTAATTATGTCAAGTATAGTATAAAATTTTATTAATACAATTGCATATAACATCACAACATGAATACTTCTGTAAGGTGTCTACCAATACATAAATTCTGAGGATAATACAGTAGAGCGTCGATTTTCCGAAAGTCAATCATCCGAAATGTCAATCATCTGAAAGATTTCCAGTCGGCAAATTAAAATTTTCGTCAGTGCTGTGGAGCTTCAATCTTTGGCTATGTCTTGGGCTACTCAAATATTTTACGTTTTTGACGAAATATCAGTTATACGAACAACCCCAGTCCCCAATTGATTCGGAAAATCGACGCTCTACTGTACTTAATAAATATTTAAAACCAAGTAGATTTTATCAAAATTAAGACTAAAAAATACATACTTAAACTTTTCAACCAAAAAAAAAAAATCATAGCCTCATTGAACTGAGGGAAATGAGTATACTGTCAGGCCTTGGAATGAGTAGTTATTTTAGCTATTAGTTGCCTTTTCCAGCAATGGTCTCTAAAGTAGCTATTTTCATGACCAAGTCTCCTTTTTGGACACATTTTTATTTTTTCTTATACAAATATCCAGAAGTAATAGCAGTGCTGAAGAAACATGGCATTTGAATTGGAGAATGCCAACCTCTTACTATATGGCCTCTAGTTAAAAATTGTGAAGAATTGAATTGTATAGAAAATTGTCAGCTAACTGACAATTTCTATTCCAGTTCATTGTTACAAGTAAAGAATCAAACAAACAAAATTGTAAAAAAAGAAAAAAATAATAATAATAAATTGAGATATGAGATAAAATATAAGTAAAATTCAAGCTAAGGCCAGTTAGACAGACCCTTTCCCCAAAATGAAATTATCACATGGTCTAAGATATCTTGATTAATTTTGTAAAGTTTTTTCATTTTAAAGTTTAAACAAGTAAGATTTGTCTTCTTTCTTTTTGTCTTTTATATATTTGAGGATTAAGGAAGGACGTTATTGTTGTTTATAATACTACTGTAACCACAGACAGTTTACAGTTTGAGTTATTGCATTTGGAAGCATTCTAAGAATATTCAAATTGATATGAACATTTTAAATATTTAAGCCTAACTTAAAATATTATGTTGATTATAACATTTGTAGTAATAATTTTTTTAATTATATAAATATAAAAAATGTATGAAAAACTATATAATATGATTAAAATATACATTATATATTATTAAATTACATTACAAAATTAATAATTTTAAATTTATTATTCAAGTAATCATTTAAACTAATTCATAAACTAATCAGAATGAGTATTTTTTTTTTTAAATAAACATTAATTAATTGGATTTATAGCATTTCTGACAAGTCTTACATTACAAATTTTGGAAGGTTTTGTTGCAAAAAATCTAAAATTGGCAATGGCAACTTAATTATATAAAAGAACTTTGCAAGTCCAGCATTGTCAAAAAGTTAATGACAGAATTCAGCTGAAAATACAGACAGATTAGACATTTGCTTAATGAAGATTCTTGAAAGAACCCAAGTGAATAAGATGCTGATGGAATTTGTAAGAAAAATGGTAACACTATGTTGGAAATGATAATGTTAAAAAAGCCTTCCCCGTAAATAAAATGTGCCTTTTGAGAATCTACATCAAAACTTCCTTGTAGCCGGAGATTGGTACATTCAGCAATTGTCAAAGTAGATTTTGATGAAAAATATCTAAAATGATTCTGGCAACTAGGAATACATCTCCTAAAAAATTTTTGTGGCATGTAAGAGAAAAAGGAAGCATCTGTTAGAACAGGCAGATGGAGTGAAGACCATTCATAAAGGTATCAAGAACTTAAGTTAAAAAAAAATTGATACTCAAAATGTTATAGGAGAATGCACACAATATACACATTATATTTTATTTTATATAAAATATTATTACATTAAATATATAGTATGGTTTTGTAAAATGAATGACATATTACAACATATTTTCTTAGTTTTTATTTTGATACAACACTGGAATTTCCCTATGCTTAGCAAGGACCAGAATATGTGCATTTTTTATAATTGATGTTATGTTCTGTTGGACTACAATATCTCATTAAGCTAGAAAAGCAACTAGTACCATAGGAAAGATGTCTTTTCTTCATTCAGTGTTTACCACAAATTTAAATAAATCTTCTGCAACATAGTTAAAACATTCAATAGTAAATTACAACACACCACACCAGGAAATACTTAATGGCACACAAGTAACCAATAACTGGTGTGAAGAAAACAAAAAACTAATAACTATCTCAAGACAAATGTTTTCCAACCCTTCTGAATTTTTTATTGGTGCTATTTTTATACTCTTACTTTAAATTCTGGTTGGTTTTTTGAAAGAAATATAAATTCAAATGTTTCATCTGGTGACCATTATAGTGCCTGATGAAGAACTCAGGAGGAGTTGGAAAATGTTTATCTGGAGATAGTTGTTACTTTTTTGTTTAAAACACACTGGTTATTGTGTGCATCACTCAACATAACTGCACCATTGCATATTCCTTCAATTTGCTAGTTGTTAATTCTGTTTTTATCATTCCTAAAACGAGGTGATAAATTATAGGGTTACTGTAACCTGTGAGTCATATTCACTGTCCTTTTAAATATTTTATCTGAAGGACAAGCTTGACCAGATATGCTATATGCATGACTTTCAGTAGATAATGTAATCAGATTAAAGGTAACTTGAAGTGAGAAGCATAGATAGCATAGATTCCTCTTTTCCTTTTTCCTTACCATTCATAAATTTTTTAATGGTATTTGCAATATCTTAGCAGTGCATGTGTGTCCTCCTACTCAGATCCCCGAAAGAGAATAATTTCATAAGACTATCAGAAATAAATCATTTATGGATGTAAAGTTGATTTGACAAGGACATTAGTAGCAACTTTTTAAGAACCAGTAAAATGTCTATAAAGAGTACTCTCAAATAACACTTCAATCTAGGATTATTATTTACAGCTTATTAATGCTTGATGAAACATCCACCTCATCTTTTTAATATATTTCTGTTTGCATTTGCAAGCTACCTTTTCTGACACTCATGAAATCTATTTGGCTTAATCTTCTAAATTCAATCTGTTGATTCTCAGTGTGTCGCATGGCATCTGACATCATAGCACATTTTTCAAAATTTCTTATATTTAAAATTTCCTTTAAAAAGCTGAAAAATTTCTAATTTCATAACTTTTCAACCTGGATGACATGTAGTTGACACTTCTCTCAGTGCACAAATACTTTTTTATAAAAAAAAAATGCTGACATTTAAGGATGCTATGTGACAGAGAAAACAGTAACCATTGCAGGAAAAAATCCTTGGGCATTATGTTCAAAACATTTCCTGCATCACACTTAGTCAAAGCAAATAACAATTTAAAATAAATTCATTTTTACAAAAATATCATTCCTTATATTCTCTGTTATTTCTTCATTGCTGCACAACAAATACAAGTTCTAATTAATTTTAAATGAGAGAGCTGTGACAAAATAAATTCATTCATTGTGACAAAATAAAAAAAAATTATAGTTATGATAATACAAATTATTAAAATAGTACAATTTTGTTTATTTTATAATAGTTTTATTGAGGCATCATGACAAATGTATTTATTTAATAAAATCCTTGTTAGTTATAAAGTTAATAATTTATGCAGTTGACATCTGTGTTCATTGCCAATTTTGTGATGGTTTTTATGTTATTTCTTTGTTTGCTTCATTTCTTACATATAAAACATTCCAGGTTAAACAATCATGAAAATATTCTGATGCTTTCTGTAATACTTCAAGCAATATTAATTTTTGAATTATGACAATCAATTTTTCATAACTGCATAACTATATCTCATGAAAAATTAAAATTAAAACAATCTGTTCTTAGAAAGATTATTGTTAAAAATTCTGCCCAATAATAAACCAAATGTCAGCTCATAAATATCTGAGTTATTTACAGAAAAATGAAGTTTATTTTATTGTTTTTATTGGATCAAATTACAATAAAAAATTAGAAAAAAAGGCAAAATACAGAAATTAAAGATATAATTTGTGTTTCTGATGTTATGCTGATAATTTCAGAACTTTAGAATAAACAATGGTGTCTGAGAGATATCAGCAACACATTTAAGGCATTTAACCTCAAACAACCTGCACAAGGTTAACAAGGATAATCAATATGGGAAATCAAATGTATGAAAGAGATCCTAGCCTATTAGAGAAAAAACAATTTATATGTAGTGAGTCTGTGCAAAAAAGTAGCTGCAAATGCAAGCAACTATACATTAAATTATTATTGACCAATCTAGGAAATCCTGAATATTTTGGATTTTCGTATTATATGGATTACATCAATATGTATGATGATTCTTTATAAGAAAGCTGCTTCTTACTTTCTTATAAAGAGCTCCCAGAGAAGACCATTGTAGGACACCCTGTAAGTAGACTCTATTCTGTGCATATGTAATGTGGCTGACCTGAAAGAAGGATGAACAGTAGATTAAATGAGTACATTCTTGGGATTTGGTTCTTTGATTGTCAAGGAATGATCATTCCTTGACAATCAAAGTTGACAACCAGTTTACAGACTAATTTTTACTATCTTTGGAATGAGAAATAATAGGATTTCAATACTGTAGGCATGGCTTCTCTTGGGATCAAAGTAATATAGTTGTATTTTATCACCAATGACAACTGACTGCAGAAATGCATTATCCAAATTGGACATTGCATGTTGTAACTTTTGGCAGATTCAACTGAACATATTTCTCTTCAGGTGTTAGACGCCAAAGAACTCATGAAGAACAAATGTTTTATGTTCAAATGGTTGTGCAGAATTGTATGGACATTCCAGTGGAAAACATTCTAACATGTCAAACTGTTAATGAATACTTTAGTCCAGGCATGGCCAACATACTGCCCGCGGGCCTGATCTGGCTCGTCTAATGAATTTATGCGGCCCGCAATCAATCTTTCAATATTAGCTACTCAAGTCTGAATAGTTTGATTAAAAAATTCTGATGCCTAAAAAGAAAAATAGGTCAACAACTCACTATGCGTTTAGAGTTAACTCTCCATTACAAATCTCGTAAATACAATGTTGATACAGTGTAGAACATTGATAGAGCATTATGATGTTAAAAATGTATCTGTAATCTCTATCTACAATTTAGTTTCTACGGGGTGACACCACAATGAGATCTCGCACCATCTCAAAATCTTCCTAGGGCAGCCTCTGGTTCAGCCCATGGAAAAAGTTCTCTTTCCAATTCAGCCCGGGGGCAAAAACTGTTGGCCACCCCTGCTTTAGTCACTAGTTTCACCAGAGTCTGTAGAAGTGTCTACTTTGAGATTGATTTCAATCCTTCAAGTTGAATGCCTTGAACCATGTCTTGTGGAAGAGTTTTGTTGCTGTATACGTGTTTCAACATTTAATTCGTTTCTACAGCTGTTTTTTGCAAGTGGAAGAATAATTACAACATGTACTGCATGTCCACAACCATTTTGCATTTTATCATAGGCAAACAGAAGACATTTGATAGTTACTCTAATGACCAAATAAATTATCATATTTCCACATTTTTTGTGGGACAGGTGCATCTATAACTATTCTTTATTGATTACAGTCTAGAATTTGTTAGGTCTATACTTTCAACAAGAAAAATTTGTTTTGACTGCTTTAAGAGAAAGTGAAATATTAATAAAACTTGTTAATTAAAAAGATTACTCATTTGAATTTTACAAAATCAGTTTTATAAAAATATTTATAAGATACATCTGCAAATGCACTGTGCAGCTGAAACCATTTACAATGTATATTCACATATATTATTTTGCATTTCAGTATTGGAGTTTCGGAAAGCTGATTATTGGGCTGTAATTTAAAAAAATTGTAGACCTATAAATTCCCACTGTTGTCTGTCTTTACTTAAAGTCTTGAATGGAATTAGATGAAAGATGAGACCAGATGTGGAAACTTTAGGGGCAGGAGGCCTGATTAACGAACTTCCAGTGCAAACTGGAAGTCATGTTATTTCAATTAAAAACATTTTTCCTGAAAGGTGTTAGAATGAGGGCTAGCATGAGTATTGTTAAGGAAGAGTATGGTCTACAGGAGATAGCCAATACTAATTTGAAGTGGAAAGCATATATTTTAAATTAAATAAATTAAAAATATGATTAAAAATAATCTTGTTAAATAAAGCCTGTTAAAATATTTGTAGGTTATTGATTTAGTCTACTTCTTAATGGAAATTTTAAATTTATGGTACTTCTTATGTACGCTGCATGTATATTAATCTGGTTATAGTATTTTTATTTATTTATTTTCAAACTTTGTTATAAATTTTCATTGACTTGGCTTAATCTAGTTAGTTTTTTTTTTTTTTTTTTTAACAATTATGTTTCAGTTTTATCAAAATCTACATGCTATAATCAATTTTTGTTTGCAAAATGAAAACAAATTGCTGTTTATTTATTTTTATTATAAGAAAGTAACATGAATTATTCCTGTAAAAATTATCTAATTAAACTTTACATATAAAATGACTATACAATTAGTTTATTATCATATGCCAAAATAGGAATAATGATTTGAAAATTTTACTTAATGATAATTTTTGAAAATGTCTAACAACTTTTATTTCTTTCCAATTTATAGCTGGTGTATTCTGTGCTATTGTATCACATCCAGCTGATACTGTTGTTTCTAAATTGAATCAAGAGAAAGGAAGCACTGCAGTTGAGGCAGCAAAGAAATTGGGATGGAAAGGTATTTGATTTTACATTTTTACTGTTGTACGCATAATTTTTTCTTAAATCTGTATAATTGATAAAATTATAAAATTGTCTAGGCTTCATATTAAAAATTTTTAATCAGATCTTTATAATCAAAAGCAATTTTGTAAAATCTCTTACTTTGTTGATCTCTTACTTTTCAAGAAAAGTTTGATATTGGAATTTTATAAACAATAATTTTAAAAAGTATGAAAATTTCAAATTTGTTTTTGATTGTTTTTTATTATTTCTATATTCTATATCTCTTTATTTCTTTAACAACTATAGAAGAAAATATTTTGATATGTACTTTTTGATGGTATCAAAATTTTCAACTTGATTCAAGATGTTTTGAAATTCTGAAAGACAAAATGTCTATTTTTTAAGATAATAGTTATAGAATAATAATGTGCTTTGGAATAATTATTATTTATAATAGAAGAATTTTAAAAATTTTGATAATGTTAGAAATTGTAAAAATAAATTAAATTTCATAAATATCATATTGAATAGAAAAACATTTACTTCATGATCTATGAAATGAGCATCAGAAAATTTTGTATTTATGCATAAATAGTAAAATTTTTGTATAAAAAAAATTATAATTGAAGTTATTAATAATAATAAAAATTATACAATAAATACAATCTGAAATGTTAGTAGAATTCTAAATTATAAATGAATTGGCAATTTTTAAAAATATTAAATGTTTATTACATTTATTTCTACTGCTAGATATACTATTACATTTTGGATGCATTTTTGAAGCACTAATAAAAGTTATAAAAATTACAAACAGTGAAAAACACAATTACTCCAACATTACTAACTTCAATGCACCTCACCAGCAATGATGGAACATCAGAATTTGCACATAAACAAAAATGATGATACACAATAGAAATAAATCCACATAAATAATAAATTTTTAATAAATAATTAATTGCTGGCTAAAGACTGACTTTAGCACCACCCTCAACCATCAAGAGAACTTCAGAATTTGTTTCGAAATTTAAGTTTTGAGATATATGGTCAAATTGTTTGTAAATAGAAGAGCTCCTATATTAAAATTCAGAAATTAATATTTGAAGATATAAAAAATTTAACTTAAATGAGGAATTATTAATAAAAAGTACAAATAACCCATTCATATAATAAATATAATGCATTCTTTCTCAATGTACTTTTTTAAAGATACATTAATTAAAGTCAGAATTTGCACTTATATTGTATTAAATGATAGAAGGAGGAGGAATTTTAAGCAATTGGAAAGTTTGACATTTGTAAACAAAAAGAAAAAATCCAGATGAGATGAAAACAATTATAATTATCTAACATACAGTGTCTCTAGTAAGACTAGAGATAAAATAATTTAAAGTGAAAAGCAAGCATGACTCATATGAGATTTTCTCAAGGAAATAATGCTAGTAGAATAAAGCTTGCTATTTCTTTTTTTGTTTACCAAAAAAAGAATATGTGAGGTCAAATTATGAAGACTTGAAATATACAATTTTTATAAAATTTGAAAAGGAATAGAAAATTGAACAGTAATCAGGAATTTATCAGAGAGAAGCAACTATATACCTGTAAAGGAAGTATCAGAAATGTGTGTGTATTATAGAAGGATCTTTACTGTAAAAAAGTATCAGTTGAATTTTGTTATAATTTTATTTTATATACACTCATTGCCATAAAATTAGTACATCAAGGAGTTGTATCACTGCAAAACTTGGCATGCAGATAAGTCTCGAGGAAATATGGAAATGATTAGTTATAGCATGATGATTCATTGCATAATGCCAGCAGAGCACGTTAAAGGTGTCCCCCCTTGGCCTATTAAAAAAAGTGCACAGTCATCCTGTCTATAGTTTACTTGTTACAGAGGGACACTGTATCACTAGAGATGCCTTTATGTCACAATTGAAGACTATATTAACAACTAACAGAGTTTGAGAGGGGAAGGATCATCAGGTTGAGAGAAGCTGGATGGTCATCTCACTGAATAGCCTGTCACTTAGGCCATTCTGACAACACTGAGGAGGTGTTGGGACCAGTGAATGACAGGGCTCACACATGGCACCCAGGCTTAGGAGGCCCTTGACAGACCACTAGCGTAAAAGGGCTGCTAGTCCTCCAAGAAGCGCGCACACACCCAACTGTGTTGTTGTCTACCATCATTACAGTTTACTATGTCTGTCTGTACCATTTTAAGGCATCTGGGTATTGCAGTGGCAACTACATGTGCTGCCATTGACACCACCTTCATTTGGAATGGTGTTCCCTGACGAGATCGGACTGCAACAGAATGGAACTGGGTTGTCTACAGCGATTAATCCAGATTCAGTTTGGGCACTGATGATGGCTGTGTTTGTGTCTGAAGGCCCCATCATGAATGCCTCATTTCTGCCTGCATTTTGGAATGGCACTCCAGAACAACACAGCTGGTGTGTTGTTCTGGAGTGCCATTACATATAATAGACAATCACCTCTAGGAATGATCTAAGGTCCATGACAGCCCAATGATATGTTAGTAACATCCTGCAGCCACATGTGTTTCCTCTCATGGCAGTGTTTTTAAAAGCCATTTTCTAACAGCACAATGCTCAACCACACACAGTAAGGGTATCACAGGACTGCCTCCTGCTTGATCTCCTGATTTGTCACCAATTGAACATGTCTGAGATCACCTGGGATGCCAAGTTGGACAGTCTAGTAGTTTGGCCAAAGTGGAAGACTGCTTGCAACATCTGTGAACTGAGATGTCACAGGACACCATACACTACCTGTATGTCCATGCCTGCCCATATCACATCATGTTTTCATGCCTAGAGCTGGCCCAACAGGGTACTAGAACCTCTTTTCATTTGTAGTTTTTCCTGCAATAAATGATCGTTTTGCTTTCATTTTGTAATCACTTACTTATATCACTGTTACACTCACACATGTACAATTTTGTTTGATTCCAATGACTCCTCCTCGGTGTGCTAATTTTTATGGCAATGAGTTTATATGAACATTTGAAAAAGTAACAGCAAATTGACAATATTTTATGAAACAAATATTCCAGGCATTTTAAATCCCTACACAGGAAAGATGCATTCTTAGAGAAGGTATTAACACTGTAATTGAAAGGGAAGATATACAAAATGGTAGCTACCCTTAACTGTTAGTGTTATAGATGAGCAGTGAGCAATGTCAGATTTTTGTGGTCATAGAATGTGAAACGTTGTGAAATTCATAGAAGAATACTACAACAGTATGGAGATGCTTGCATTGGTGAGGGAAGAGAGTATGAGTGGGTAAATGTATCTAACAATGTGCAAACATCAATCCATGATGAATCTGTTCACACTCTTTTGAGATATGAATGGACCAATTTTAGAGAAACTAGTTAAAGTTCTTAGCAAATCTTTTATCCATAAACTTCCATGCAGAGGGAAGACTTTTGGCATCCCTCGCATTCAAACAGCCTTCCTGTAGTTTATTCCTATAAATCTGAATCCTTTCAGCAGTCATTGCCAAAGATAGGGAAGATAAAGACTTGATGATGGCTGACTCATTCCATTTGACTACAGAGCCTTGTGTTTGTGCCATTTGGGACAAAATTGTTGCATTAGACTTCTTTCTGATATAACTATGTTCCTTGAGTCTAAGTCCCAAACTCCTGGTAGTTATTCCAATATAATCTTTTTTAATATCCAATTGCATATTCTTGTATGGAATTCTATAAACTCCTACCTTCTCCTCTGACTTTATACTATCTTTATCATTTCTCAGGATTTTGTATAAATTTGGGGCCCTCTTTATAAGCATTCTCACACGTTTTCTATCAGCAACCTCTTTCATAACGCTATTCATATTTTCATTATAGGTAAATTTCACGACTCAGTGGGAACACTTTTAAATGACTTTTTCTTGATGTTCGCCTCATACTTCTTAACCATTCCTAGAATTGTGCTTTTTTGGTAACCCAGGATCTGGGCCACATTCGTTATTCTATCTATTTCTTTAATCCTGTCTTGGATTCTATCACAATACAAAAATGCCCTTTTTATTAAAGCTTGGAAAGCTGCAATTTTATACTTATATGAATCCTTGGATTGGGAGGGAATATACAATGGGCTGTGGGATGGTTTAATAAAATGCTAGTGGATAAATGGCCTTTTCTGAACTTGATACTGATGTCTAGAAAATGCACATCTAAGGAACTCTTCTGTTCCAATCTTAAACTAAGACCATCATTATTATCATTGATCTTATCCATAAAATCCTTAATCCTGCTGTTATTTTTCCATAATATAAGTAGGTCATCAACATATCTGCTAAAATAAACAACATTCTCCTTGAAATTGTGAAGAACTCTTCTTTCTAGCCTCCTAACTACTAATTTACACAGAATCCCTGAGAGCAGGCTTCCCATAGGGACCCCTCTTCTCTGCCTGTACATCTGCCCATTAAAAGCAAAGCAAGATTCATGGCCAGTTCCTCTACTTCATTGGTGTAACTAAGCAACTTCGAGTTCTTGCCGTATAAGAAATCCAAAAGTGCCTCCATGCATGATTCTATCTTTACTGACAGATACATGTTCTCATAGTCGAAAACAGTTGCAACTTCATCTTCCATTAACAAAATATTTCATAGATCTTTAACAACATTCATAGGACCACGTGCAACTAGAGTATCCATGTCCAGCAGTGAGGATAAATATTCATGTAACTTCTTTTCTAATATAAATGTGGGCCCCTGCATTTCTCTACAACCGGTCTTATTTCTTTGTCGGCTTTGTGTACCATGGTGAAAGCAAACAATCTAGGTGTTCCAGGTCTAGGGTTCCTGCATTTTTTGAGAAAAGGCAAAGCTGTAGAAAGTTTAGAAACCTCTAGTTTCCTGACTCTTCTATCCAAACTTCCAGTTATCTTACTGTTGACATTTTCACATTCTGTCTTTTCGATGTAATCCACAGCACAGCACTACTGGATTACATGTAAATAATTTTTTTACATGTTTTAATACTGAGAATGACCTTTCACCAGATGCATTTGATATAGACAAAGTTAAATATATTCGCAATAATATTTCTATATTTGGAAATGTTAATACTAGTTTTGTGCTCTTTATAAATTGCAACATATCAGATGGCAACGTTAATTTTTGGCTTTTGAAAATTAATTTAAATTGCAACAATTCGTCCAATTCTTCAGTATCAATGTTGCCACTGTACCATTTTTTTAGCAGTGCGGTATTAATTGATACGTCCTCATCATCGCTGTCAGCTATGTTTGTATGAAGAATTTTAAAAACTTCATCAATATCTTTCAAAATAGACAGTTTGACCAGGTCATTCTAAAAACTGGGCCTTAGACATTTGTCTCATTTGTCTATGCAATGATCCAGCCCTGGAGACCACTCATTTTGTTCCAAATAAAAAAATATTTGGAAATAAAATTAATTCATCTTATAAGTACTATACATAATTGAAACTTTTTTATTTTTTTGAAAAATAGTTGTCTTTTAATACAGTCAAACCTTGACAAAGCACTCTTAAATAGTGCCACCTTTGTAAAGCATTAATGAAAACTTATTAATAGATTTTCCCCATAAATATTAAATAGAAATCCCTTTAGTATCTGAATTACTAAATGTACAGTTTTGTTTTGCAAATAACATTATCATCAAATCATGACTTTCAAATTTTCAAACTTGTGTTTAGCTCTCATTACTGCTTATAATTACTGCATATAATTCTTGTTGTTTGAGATACTATAGTTTAGTATTACACTCAATTCGGTTTCATTTTCAGAGATGAATGTATGATAAGTACAGTACAGTCAAAATTTGATCTAGCATTAACTTGAATTTTATACAGTTATTTTTAAATTTTATTTCAGGAGTAAAATATTTTGCTATTTTGAGTCATTAAATATTTTTCATTGTATTTAATATATAGGTCTTTGGAAAGGTTTGACACCAAGAATTATTATGATTGGTACCTTGACTGCACTACAGTGGTTCATTTACGATGCTGTAAAAGTTTGGCTGAGACTCCCTCGACCCCCACCACCTGAGATGCCTGAAAGTCTCAAAAAGAAATTACAAGAGAAACAAAAATAAATTAAATTTAAATTTAAAAGCATTTTGTCTTCCTGATTTTGTTTTTGCTCCCAAATCAGATTCTGTTTATAGAGAAGGTAAATGGGTTATGTTCCATTTTACCTTGTTCAAGTTGCATTCCTTTTTTTAGTCAACACTATAGTATTTAAACTGGAAAATTTTTCACACTCAAGTATTATTTGGCATTGATTGTTGTGAGGGAGCAATAAGAAATCGTAGGCAAATATGTACAAATTGATGCTAGATGAAGATAATGGAAATGTAGTGAAATGAAGAATGTAATAAATTATGTAAAATTTCTAAAACATTTTAAGTTGTGTTATTTCTTAAAACATCAATATATTGATATACATTCAAATCTCTGTAGTCATATGGTAACATACAATACATGATTCTGCATCAAATGTGAAATTTCTATGACTAGTTTGTCATTATTCTATGGACTCAATAAAGCTTTAAAAAATAAGCAACAATAAAATAACAAGTTAACCAATTTTCTCATTTGGCTGCAATTTTCAAATTGCACACCTGTATATTCCCACTATTGTCTGTCCTTAATTAATATCTAGATTCTAGAACAAAGTTATATAGATGAAAATTGAGATCAGATATGGAAAGCTTAGGCTGCATTCACACTGCCGATGACAACAACAAAAACCAATGTTTTTATCATTTTTATTTGTCTGTAAAATGTTCACACAAGTCGTTATTGTTGGTTTTTTGTCTTACAAGGGAACTGTCGAAGTGTCTTCTAATAAATTTTAATAAAATTTAGTTAATAACTACGTTAAAAGTATACAAACTCTATTTTAAATTTGTAGCATTCACTAAAAGTGTTGATCAAAGTTATTAGCAATCAAATGTTGCACTACTTTATAGTAGTTTAGCACA